CATATGGTTCAGACACACAAAACCAAGCTTTCAAATCAAAATGATCTTTCAACTTCTCGTTATGGTACACAGTTTTAGCAAGTGTTGTCTTGCCAACCCCCGCAATTCCAACAATAGGAATTACTCTCAAATTTTTACCATTTGTATCAACAGATAATAAACGGCCCACCAATTCCTCTATTTCATTTTGCCTGCCAAAGATTTCAGATTCATCAACCAAAGATGTTGAAGGCACTCTAGTTTCTTGTTTACGAGAAACAAGATAGTCCTTTAGGCCAAGCCTACCAATTTGCTTTTCCAACTCCTCCAATGTTCTAGTGGTGTTTTCCAACTTCTCCTTTATGTTAAGAAAAAATTCATTACTCAAGCACAAGTTGAGGTCACTTACCTGCTGGTTGCTTGCTTCTGCATGACTTTGATGCTGACCTTCCACCTTAACTCTCAGAACTTCATAATTGATTTTTTCCATTAAGTTTTCAGCACTGTCCACAGCATCCCGGAGTTCATTAAGCCACTGAGTCACGTCTGGATTAGATGCCTGCTTATTCTCTGCATCACTTAGCACAGCCCGGAAACCACACAAAGTCCTCCTTAGCTTCTCTAAGAGATGAAAATCATGCTTTTGCCTCTGAAACATCTTGAGCAGCTCACCCTGAGGAGCAAGCCTTTCAAAGAGAACATTCAAAGCTGAAGATAGAAATGCACCACCAACTGCTAAGCCAATCTCCATTGCTGAAAGCTGCAAAGCAAAACAAGAAAATCATAACATGATTAAGAACTTGGAGAGGATTAATATTTCAATCTTAAAAATAGTGTTAGTTTCACCTGTTCAAAGCTAAGAGTAATATGCAAACAAGAATGCTCAGAGTATATGCTTTAGCAAAAGTAATAACTTGTGCTTCTTAGAAGACCTTATATCTCTCTCGTTCTTTCTTTTCGTAAAGCAAGACTTCATAATGAAAGTAACTATTCATTGAATAATTGGGGCAAGAGAGGACAGGATACTGTGGGGTATGTGTTAGGTGTGCCTTTTGCTCATATCATTAAAATGTTTTAGAAATTTAAATGACTGTCAAATTATTGCTGAAATTCCTATGAGATACTCTACACTATACATTCTTGAAAATGTTCCTTTTCTTATCATTTTTCCAAGTTTAAATTTCTGTGAGGTTGTAAATTTTCTTGCAATATCCTCTTTGAAGTTGTAAACAATGGTATGAAAATAATTAATGGTGGCTTTAAATTTTAATAGTGTAGTCTCTGTTTCTAAAAAATTTATTGATCCATTATACGTGGTAGCTAAATGTTATTAGTACACTTTCAACATAACTTCGACAAAATCAAGTGAAAAAGACAGCTAAATCTTAGAATTCTTTAATATCATGTTTTAGAAACTATTAGAGCTTGAGAATAGTAGATGCATATTAGCAGTTCTAGTATATGAGTTTTTTGCACATAAGGATTAAAACCTTAGGTGTATTAAACAAATATTACTTTATCTTGAAATAATCTTTACAGAAAATATTATTTTATGTATTAAATTATAGATGATATAAAGAAGTATGGTATACTAGTTGTTTGTTATAGACAGAATTTACGTTGCGCGGATTCTCCAAAATAGTGTCGCATCGTGCCGAATCCTCCAAAAATCCATTACTTTTAGAGGATTTGGCATGCCCCAAACGATATTTTTGAAAAGTTCGAGCGACATAGTAAGACATTTTCTCTTCGTAGAAAGAGAAAAGGACAAGGATTAATATGTTTATTTCTTTCTCTTTTTCATAGCTATGGCTATCATAGCAAAATTGTCCTTGTTTTCTCTTTGCAATTTAAAGTAAGACTTTTTACCCACCAAAAAAGACAAAAGACTTCGTAATGGAGTCTTGTTTCTTGTATATTCATTACTCAGTTGAATAATTGAGGCAAGAGAGGAAAGTTATTCGAAAATATAGAAAGGGACAGAAAAATAAAAGAGCCTAAAATGATAAATTTCTGTTTGGTGTGCCTTTGCATTATATACTTTTCCACGACTCATTGAAGTGATAATTGAGTCTACCATATCATGAATACGTTTTAGAAATTGTGGAAATTTGAATGAATAGTATTATCACCCGCGCGAATGCGCGTACACTAATCATGTAATATATTTGAGTTATTTGGATTATATGTAAATAATCTTAAAACTTAAACTTTCTCTATTAAATATAAATAACCATTGGATATTAATTAAGAAACACTACATGAAAAAGATTAACCATTTCTCAAATTTCCTAGATATAATTCTATTTTTATTTTTTGATACCATTCTCGCGGGTGTCATTGGATCCTAAAATTAGCTGGGAAGCAAAATAATAACTCATTTTTATAACAAAACAATCAAAGGTTGTATTTCAATGTATCCCTCTGTATACTATCTATTTCATTGTATTTTGCGGTTGAGAATATTTTTTATAACTGAAAAATACAAAATTTGTGTGTTATAATTGAGTTTGTTGAGTTATTTTAGGAGTCTATTATGTTAATTGATTCACTTTCCGTTTTAAAAACAGTGTAATCCCCTATTTCACGTCGTGAATACAGTCGAATACAATAATCTGTCCAGCTGTAATCTCATGTTTCACTCCATGAATACAGTTGAATACACTCGAATACAACAATTGGTTAATTATACTTCCCTGATTCACGCCTATTTTTTATACTGTATTCATGAATACAAAAACTTAAATACATCAAATACATCTTATAACCACACAAAAGGTATCTATATTCCGTAATATAGCAAATGGTATCTATAGATGGCTAATTACTACTAAAAGATAATGCTTTATGAAAATTTATCTTAAAACAAAGTTGGTACGGTTAAATGGCTATTTTAGAAAGCCCAAATGGCTATTTTTGCAGGCCAACGACCATCTTTAAATTTTGGATCGGTTAAAAAAAAATTGACAATTTTTTTTTTAAAATAGTCGTTGGGCCCGTTTGAGCCCGGTTAGGACCGGTTGAACCGGCCCACTTAACAATCGGTCCCGGGCCAAAACGGTTCCGATTCTCACGGGCTTTTTCAAGGAACTGGCCCGCTATCCATATGGACTCGGGTTTAAACGGTTAGGCCTACTACCTATATGGGCTTACGGGCCTGAGCCGGTCCCGGCCTAACCGGCCCACATGCCAGCCCTAGCAGCCACCCCTCTGTCGTTCTCTTCCCCTATTTTTTTTTCTTTTTGGCCGAAAACTTTAACTCCCCTTGCAGCCATGGACAGATCTGTCTACACCACTTTCATACAAGTTCAGATGCTTTCTATTCCCTCTCTCCTATTTCGAGCAAAGGGTACAAAGTGGCAGATAATAGTCAAATGGAATCTTCACTAGTATATGAATTGTCAAGGCCGAATCTCTGCAAATCTGAATCAATAGGGAAATTCGATCAATATCTCTTCAGAAGATCCGAACCAAACGGCTACGCCCCCGTTTGGCCATATATTTTGGCAAGTTTTTTTTTAAAAAAATTTTGAAAATATTGTTTGTCCATAGATTAGTGATCTGTTTTTGAAAATTTTCTGAAAATATTTTTCAAGTTTCCAAAATCTTGTTTATGGTAGATTTTGGGTGAAAATCAAGTTACTAATCACAAAACTTCAAATTTTTTTCAAATAAAATGCATGTCCAAACATAATTTTAACTTTCAAAAATTATTTTTCAAAATTACTTCAAAAATTATTTTTTCAGTTTCAACTCAATCTATGTCCAAACGCTAGCTACATCTTTGAATTCCAAAGCCAACCCGTGACATCTCTGCCTTTTCCTTTTGAAATTCAAATGGCTAACTTGCCCTTCAAATCTCGCTCAGAAACCCTAGCCATAACTGGGAGATGCACCTATAAATACCTCTCAAAAGCTTCAGCCGAAATCCATCTTTGAATCCTCGAAAATAGTTAGAACACGGCAAAATCTCTGTCTCTATTTAGTTTGCTAAAATAAAGTTTCGATCTTGTTACGTGGAGGGAGTAGATCTGAAATCTTAAAGTTCCAGTTCACTGCCTCACAAAAGGTAAAATCCGACTTTTGATTCTGTTCTTTCACTTATTTATCTGTTGTAGTGGAATGCACATAAAATATTTTCTGATGCTAAAGTGATGTGAAGAATCCACATTTTAAGTCATGTTTGTATTCAAATTGGCTGTGTTAAAACTTTACTCACTATTATAGTCCGTTTGGCCAAACTGTAAAAATCAGCTTATTTTGGTGCAAAAATCACCAAAAGTGTTTTTGGTGAGAAACAGTTTGAGTTTGGCTAATTAGTTTGAAAAACACTTCTGAGCAGCAATTAGTGTTTGAAAAACACTTCTCAAATAAGTGCTTTTGAAGAGAAGCTACTTTTTTCTGCTTCTCCAAAACTGCTTCTACTCAAAATAACTTTTTTTTTCTTCCAAAAGGTTGGCCAAACGTGTCAATTTTTTTTGGCAAAAAAAAAAAACTTTTAGCTAAAAAGAAGTTTGGCCAAACAGGCTATAAATTATGTTATTTGCTATTGTATTCTTGACTGTTTGAAGAAGTGATGGTGTTCAACTGGAATAGAAATAATGTTCTTTAGTATTTCATGTTTGACAAACATCGTGCATCAAAATACTTTTGAATTTTATTCTTGACCAATTTTTTTATTTTTTTATTTTTTATTTTTTTTTATTTTTATTTTTTTTTGGAGTTTAAACACTAGTAGAAAAGCATAGCTTATTATGGAGTATTTTGTTATTATGGAGATAATAACAGTGAGAGATAATCATTCTCATGCTTAGCTTGAATATACATTTAGGATGTAAAATTGATCTGATCCATGTTTTATTATAGAAGCATAGGATTTTGATTCTGTTATCAATAGTATTCATATCATTAGGAACTACTGTTTCACCTACTTATATAATATAAGGATGGCAAAGATATAACTTGTTCTTATATTTAATATGACTTCTTTCATCGCTAAATAAAATATGAAAACATGATTTTAGGTTTTTTTCCTTATTTAAGAGCTTAGATATCACGCCCCCAT